TGTACACTTCTCACGTTTAGACGGAGTGTTAATTGTTCTGGTCCGCATTCGGTTAATATTGTGTTGTATTCATTCAATCACTCAATGCAGCAATTGTTCCCTGTCAGAGATTGGGCTTGTGACACTTACTTGTAACACATTTCATGCTTAATCTTGTTTCAACGTGGCACTGAATGTTGACAGTATGGATAAGAGTAAGATAGGGCTACGTTGGAATACACTACCTTATACAGTCATTACATTTCCCACTTTTAATAACCAAAGCCCTTCATACATTCCAACAGAAGTTATTTGCCAAACGTTTTTATAAGCCACAATTTAAGGAATCTATTTCATCTAATTGTGACGTTGATAGATCTGTCGATATTCCTAACTGTACAGTAAGAATAACCTGCTTGGATAATTGAAAGTCATATTTTGGTAATCAAAATTGCAGATAACAATTCTAGATGCTGTAGATAGGGAGCTCTGGAGCAGATCGGTGTTTGGGTGAAGTGCTGCATGTGGCAGGAGGACGAGTTAGTTCTCCCTCCTGTGTGATGGAGCTCAGTGGTTCCTCACAGTTGGTCCTAGCTGTTGGTTAACTGCTCGGCGGTCCCTGCTCACATTCATTAATGCTGGGTACGAAAGAGTGTGCCAACACTGACGATGAATAGTTTGGACTTTTATCTGAGATGGTTTCTTTAGATTTACTTGAAGACGTGTCAGTGAACTATTGAAATGTTGAAAACATTTCCAGGAAAGCAACAGTGAATAGTTCATCATCTATGATATGATTTATTCCAAGAGAAGCTAATGCATTTTACATTGCTGCCGCTTCAGGGATGGATGTGGACATTTAGAGAATTCCTAAACCTGCGAGCGGAAACACTCTTACTCTTACTATCTTCATCACGCTTACTTTCAAATATGTCAAACCAATGTTTGTGACTGAAACGCTTTTCCATTAGTTGGCTACAGAGGATTTGGGGCTTTGTCTAATTTGGCCGCACAGCTTAATTGCTTAGCATAATGTTACATATTTGTGTCTTAACAAAGTTAGTTATTCAGTTAAAACATGAATATTGACAAAACAATTCCCATTAAAGGTCTCATTTCTAGATCCTCCTGTTGTCCGGTTGTCTTCAAGCTGGCCATCAGGAGTGTGGGAAGACATTCGATCCTTCCAGACGGAAAAGGCTGGTGGTTATAACGTTTCTATTTTTTAATTTCTAATGGCAGAAATAATTTGAATAATGTTATTGTAGAAAAATGCCTCATCATCTCAAAGACCGAGGCTAAAATCCAAAGCAGTACATCTCTGAATGTGAATGAATGAATGAAATCATAACCAAATTAACATAATTTAATTGAATACACTTGAATGCTGGATAAAACCCTATTAAGTGAGTTATATAATGATATTAATTAAAACAGCAGTAAAATGCATAAAACAACATATTATCACCTGATAAAGTTATTTTTAATGGACGTTATGTCTTTCACGTTTTTCTGTTTGGGTCTCCACCACCTTACAAGGGATTTCCTGACTCTTTAGCTCCCAAAATACTGTACTATGTTTACAGGGAGAGCGACGCCCACATTACATGCAGTCATTTAATCCATTATTTCATTAAAAGTATTGAATAGTGCAGCTTTAATGGTTCCTCGCAGACAACGACAGAGACCTCAGCACAGTGTGATAGATGTCATGTGCACAGAAAGAACGCCACAAACAAATTACAGCATCGTCCAGAATTGAATCCAAGTACTTCAAAAGACATGATGAAACCCTCCATTGTAACGTGTACTAAAGCCTGCTTGTGCAATGTGTGTCAATGTGTGTCAGCTGTGAACACTGTTTCACAGGAGGACTGAGGAGCGAAGCAGAGACAGAAATCTTCCATTTTCACCTCCATCGTTCTGACTGTAGAAGAAACAAGAAGGCCGAGAAATGCGGCGCCGTGCAACTACACAAGGAAATGTTTTTTCCATTAAGAGAAAAGGTCAGACTCCTACACCTTAAAAATGATACCCCCTCACTCCTTGCAAAAATGAAAAACAAGTTACCCACCATGAAGAGGGACCAAATATTCGGCTCCACAATTTGTATCATGCGAGACATGAAGGATTGAAGCACTGATGCTACACAAGGAGGTGGAAAGGCAAAGTAATATTCAGCAAACCGGCACTTATAACCGGATTTGGCAGTAAAAGAGATCATGAATGAATGAATTATTCATCTACTTCGATGCAAAATGCACAATTGTTTGAAAAGAGTCCCATCCCAATGCCCTAAAGAATGAAATGACCTGGTGACCAACGACCAACGCCTAATGATACAGCAACAACAACCCTTGAATTTCGTATTATACAACTGAGCTTTTGCTGTGAATTGTGTCGGAAGTGTTCAAAAGTAATACTCAAATCTTTTTTCACCTGTTTTTTACGTGTTAATGACCATTAAAAATGTATATTTTTACCATAACAGCAGACAGTACGACAATGGACAACATAGTGCAAGAGAAATAAAATATAATGCTATGGGTTAGTAATATAATGCTATGGGTTAGTAATATAAGTAATATATATTAGTTTAAAAATAAAGGAATAAAAGTTTAAAAAGTTCAAATTTGAAAATTGAAATTTAATTTTTGTTTTCACAAACCCTGCCACATCATCAGAGTCGTGGAGGACGTCACACTTTGAAAAATAGATATAAAGTTGCTGATATTCTTGCATGTCATTGTTGATAAAACAACAGCCCTGTTTGAAGTGACAATGCTTTTTTTGTAAATGTTATTTTCACCCCAAAAGTATCAATGTATGGCAGAGAATTGTCTTAATCCATAAAGAAGAAGAAATGGACTATTTGAGAGATCTGTGATTTTCAGCGACAATTTATTATAAAAACAGCAACAACTAGGGATTCGGTGATAATCCTACAGAGCTCACTCTCATGGTGTTTCCATCGACTGTGTTTTTTGTCTTCAATCCCATGTGCACACTGATGGAAGGTTCTATGAAACGTTACTTCATTATAATGCTAAGAGACAGGGTTGAGTACTTTTCATGGTGTTCTCCCTCTCAGTATTCACCAAGTGGAGGTCATATTTCTCAGTCCAGCACTAGTGTCAGAGTGGCTGCAGCTGCAACCTCCTCCTGCTCCGACCACGTGACGGTGGGTGTGTGTCTAGGTTCAAGTCCCCTCCAGAACCTCGGCTCAATCCCGCTGCTATAAAAAAAATCTAACGTCGGTATCGCAGCAGATACCCAGCTGCATGGGGCCTGGATTCACAATATCGAGTGGAGACCGGGACACTAAAGGAGCAGAGGTCAGAGCGAAGCAGGAGGTAAGAAAAGAGATCCCTGGCACTTCTTTAATTGAAGGGCTTTTTGACCCATCTTTTTCTATGTCCAATTTCTGCCAAGCTAAAGGCAGTGAACAATACAAATAGTCACATTTGTGTTAAGAAAATGTTGTATTGATAATTGCATGAAAAAACTTTACTATATACCACGATTAGTAAATGTAGTCAGATATATATTCACTCAGTCCACGGGCATTGGGCTTATGGGCCAAACGTGTGCAACATGGCTGTAAACATTATATTTTTAATACATAGAGAGGATGCAGTATTGATTCCATGTCATCGTGTTATTAGAGCTGGGCATGCACGAGGCCCACTGCTCTCCCCAATGTTCAAACAGCTAGATGTAGCAGACTTTGCCTCTGAATGACTTCCAGCTTTAGTGTAATTACGTTCTGAGTAATTTGCCTGATCTGTGTAATTGGCTCTGACTGAGGGGCGTGATGTTGATACACAACATGTGTGCTCACCTAAACACCCCGGGCTGTATTTATTACTGCTAAAACAGGCAAATCGAATACAAAAAATATTAAAACAATGAAATAAAAATGACTT